TTATTTGAATATTCTAGAATATTTATAATAATATTTATAAATATTATATAATATTTCACGATAATATACTCGAATACCAAAATAATAAAAATTTCTACCGAAATTAGGTAGAGAACACTAAGCTAAAAATTACCCAATTAACATTAAGTGTATAGATAAAACATATATCGATACCTTACTTTCCCAAACACGTATCTTTTAAAGAGTGATTATTCAGGAGACAGCAAAACTTTCTATTTATTTTAAATTTCTTATCAATTTTGATACTTTAGGAATAGCAGCGTGCAACATTTGTATATACAATGCATTTTTTGCATTTCAGTTACTTTATGCTTTAAGATATGAGTTTGAGAGCGCAAGCGACGATACACTTAATTTATATTCCAGTAAAGTTCTAATTTTAAAGCAGTTTACCAAGTTGTCCCTTTCCTTTATTTCTGTGATAGTAATGAAATCTTAAATAGAGAGAAATATAATTTCATATGAACGATTGAAAAATTGTCAGTAGGTTGGGCCGCGCAAAGGGCCTACTATAGCAATTAGAGAGCGGCCCTTGAAATGTTTAATGAATTCTGCGAAAGAATGGCAACCACTTCGTCTGGCAGTAATTAAAACCCCATTTACGAAATAGGCCAGTAAGTCTTTGCTCTTTCAGGCCTTCAGGTGTGACGCTAGGCGAATGGAATTTCATTATTTAAAACGCGCTGAAAGTTGAGTCAGTCAGTACTTTTTTTTAAATGCCCAGTGACGGGACGAACAAGTCGTGCGTCTTTTTTTTTTATACAAAAATAAGTGCGTATTTGACCTCCACATCATCTGATGGAAAGTGACGATGAGCTCGACAATGTAGCATGCACACCTAAATAATGCCTATTCACTCTCGGCTTGAAAAGATCAAAGTTATAGCGTTCGTGGAATACGTGCGCAGGCAGAAAATTCCACTTTCTAGCCGCTCGCTATATAAATGTGAAAGCAAAACGCTTCCTACAAATCCTGGGAATATCCACAACGTAGGGGTGGAACCCCAGCGTACGTCTAGTTCCCCGATTATAAAAAGTGGTAATCGACACGCCTGTTCATAGCTTAGACAACATTCAGAGCTTTTACTGCACCCATCACCATGAGACATAAGTTGACAAGACCCATGTGACTGTAATTTCATCAGTACCCTTATATAAGCGCTGTAATGGCGCGACAACAGTGGCGGGGCAGCCACAATTTTTAGTTCACTAATTGTGACTGTAAAATAAGCGCGCGCATCACAACAGTGGCGCTGTAACTGCGCTTTAAAGTATCACATTAACATTAGTAGTGGCGCGGCTGTAGCGCCACAGTAGCGAAATTACAGTGGATCTTTATAGATTCTTTATACGCTTATGCGTCTAATTTGAAAGCGCCCTTACCTTACAAAATCGCAAGGCAGTAATGCTCGCCTTATAGGCAGCTGGACGAACCTTTCACAAAGCACTCTACTGCTACTAGACTACGCCTTGCCAATACATTCTACACACACCACTTTCTTTAGGCAGTTGTTAAAACAATTGTATAGCAAACAAACATTCCCCGAACGCCATAACTCGGACGTTTTCTAGGCGAGAGTGAATAGGCATTATTTAGGTGCGCATGCTTGCATCGTTGACCTCATCGCCACTTTCCATCAGGTGAGATGGAGGTCACTTATTTCTTTAAAAAAACAGAGTAATTTGTTAGAATTTGTTTTCCCTATTTCACAGAAACGTTATATTTTCTTTTATCAATAATAAAAATATGATCACGGCACGTAGTTACACCGAAGCAAAAAAGTGATCGATCAAAATACGGGCAGTGGTCCCGGCGCTAATTGCGGCTCTGCTCGACTTTTTCATTACGGCGACACAAGAAAAAATTGCATTAAACGCAGATGAGGCCGGTTTTCTTAATTAAGCATTAAATGAGCTGCGAAAAAAATGTTTTCCACAAAGGTAGTAATATCCCAATGACCTTTCAAGCTTATGAATGGGGATGTTAATTTCGCCCCAGTTAGTTAATATAAGTACTCTTTTATAACTTAAAATGTAAATTATGTGAAGTTTTTTACCATTCTTCGTAAATGTGTACCCGTGATTAAGTAATTTGGACTTTACGTAGGCGTTTTAAGACGGAGAGTTGGGTATTAAAATAGTGAATTTGTAAACGCGGCACGTGTTTTAGCCGCCGCGTTTTCAAGCGGTAATATTTAGGTAATAATTCCAGCCCTGAACGTTGACTCTAGCATTGTTCTGCTTCGGGCATTTGAACCGTAAAATAGGATCATTTTCGTTAGTAAGACTTGTTTATTAAGATGCAGAGAGTTACACTGTTGTTTATTTTTGTTAGTTTGTTTTACTTTGTACCTTTGGTAAGCATTGCAAACTCTTTGATATTATATGATTAAGTTTGCTTTTCTTTAGTTACTTCGAAGACGTCTTGTAATAGCTTTTTTAAACAGACTTTAAAAAAAAGGAGGAGGTTCGCAATTCGCCTGTATTCTGCTTTTTTGTGTATGTTAAGCGATTGCTCCAACATTTGTAAATCAATTTCGATGGTTCTTTTTTATTGGAAAGGGGGTACCTCAGTAGTCGTCCAATTCAAATTTTAAAAAAATATTCCACCTCTAAGGGTGGCAAATTAGAGAATGAATCAGTATTACGGGATTCCACCCACTTTCCGTTAAACGATTTCAATAAAACTTGGCAAAATAGATTTAATTCCACACTTTTGAGGTCTGTTCTTTATAAAAACGTTATAATTAAGTATGAACTATTTATTTAACATTAAGAAAATAACAGATTAATATCTAAGCAGCTACAAATACAGAAACAAAAACATAAAAAAATAATAAACATACTTAAATACATATTATTATCACAGTTATTATTATAGAAGTAACAGGCACCATTGGTTCAAATACTTTCTTACATAGGCTCATTGGACATCAAATCGCATTATCAAACAAATCACAATGCGGTGTCGCCGCGAGAATGGAGTTAAGGAGTGTGATGTATGTACGTATTATCTGTTATACCACGTGAATTGGTATTAAACATAATTTTTACGAAAATGTGTCATATTATTTGAAAGATACAGTCCACACAGATTGCGAAGTTTAAGCTGTTTATTTTCGCTTGTCGTTTTAATATCGACTATATGTTCCCAGGTATGATTTCGACATTTAAAGGTCGTAAATGAAAGGTCAATTTCCTCAATGGGGGCCGTATTAGCCTATTCAAACAATCATGTTTTGAAATGCCGTCACAGTGTCTCTCCTGATTAATTGATATAAGTAGCTTACTAGAGTGGATACACACGGAGACTTTTAGCAGTGATTGTATCGCAGGACAAGTTTTTTTCGAAAACTAACTACGCATTTGACCTCCATCTCACCTGATGGAAATGATGGATCATGAACACCTAAATAATGCCTATTCAGTCTCGCCTCAAAAAGGCCCAAGTTATAGCGTTCGGGGAATAAGTGTGCAGGCAATGAATTCCACTCAATCGCTGTTCGCCATATAAATGTGGAAGCGGAACGCTTCAGGAGGACTGCTGGAGGACAGTAGCGACCACGTCAAGGTAAACGTAGTATAGGATGCCCTGAGAAAGATACCCGGCAGCGGCAGGACCGGGAGTGTTTCCGTGCTTGGCTTGGCAGTGGATAAGCTGATATACTATATATCGCACGTTGAAAACAACACTGTCATTCGAATTTTTACAAATTTAAAGTTAATTTCAGAAACTTTGATGGTCAGTTCCTACGCGTTACGTAAAAAAATAAAGTCGGTATTAAACAATAGTGTAGGGGCTCTAAACCATTATGTCACGAAAATGTATGAACTTTTCATTCTGGCAGAAAAATCTTTATCGCAAGAAAGACCTTCGGAGTTGGCAACGTGTTCGGATACGATGTTAAACCAAGTTTAAACAGGAGAATCCTTCTAAGACGCTATGGGACCGTAATTACTTTCTCGGACATGCCTGGATTATGGGCGCTACGATGGAAAATTTATGTTATCTCCTCGTGATAAATTATATTTTTCCACTAACATTTATCTTGCAAGGATTAATAATTACTTTCCGAGGGGAATTTTCGTTTATGGAACGTATATTTTCTCGTCTGAAGTTGTAGCTTTTAAAGGTTACTCTATATTGTATTTACTAAGAAATAGTGGCAAAGAAATAATTACAGAAATGTGGAACGTCTTTCAGCGAGATGTTTATTTCTTTATTATATCCAGTGACGAGACTAACAACTCGTGCACCTGATGGTAAATGATACGTCTATCTATAACAGTTGCAGTACCACCAGAGCTTTAAATCGCAAAGATATGAAGGGAGACATAAAGATAACAGACAATGAGGTCAAGAGCACCTTAGAGTCTATGCACACGACGTATTTTATACGCTCCAACGGTGTGTGTGCACGCCGCACACGCGCTGTAGTCGGGCATTTTGATAAGAGATAGTTTTAATTTGAGTTTTGTTCGTTAATTACAGTTAGTTGTTGAATGAAGCAACTACATGAAATTCTAAGTGCAAACTTCAGTGAAGTATATAGGCTTCTTGTTTGCAACGCGATGTTTGCACGCGTTTGAATCGATTCACTACAGAGCGTATGCGGCGACTATACGCGCAAATGATGCGCGTTTACGACGCCGTAAACACGCGTTCCTGGAACGCGCGTCGTCTTAAAATATGCCGTGTGCATAGGCTCTTAGGTGAGGTTTAGCAAGGGTAGGTCTTCAAACCCGGAACATAGTAATGCGCACATTACAGCGTGCCAGTACTTCTCTGGATGAACTCTATCATGCAGTTGTGGGGGATGACAACATCATTAATTGTGGATGGGTGACATTAGCACAAGATCATTGTTGACAGCACAAAGTACTGGAAGCTTATATCATGACGATCACCCTATAAATTACATAAATTTACATACTTTATTTACAAAATTATGTGCACCAACGAAAAGGCGTTTAACGAACCTTTGCTCAACATTTCTTCTGCCGTGTACCTGTAACAAAAATAAAAACAAATAAATAAATTGTGATCATTCACCAGGTGATATGTATTCATATATACGTACGACACAGAATGATACACATACACGTACTATATGTACGGCACAACCCAGACAAAACACATATATAATAGGAAAAAAAAAACGGAGAATTCTAGGATAGACGAAACATAGATAATTTAGGCCATTAAAGCACGTGTACATTGTTATAAGTTCTTTCTATGTAATAACACAATTTAGGTACATTTGGGTAATTTTCAGGTCAGTTTTTTCTCTACCCTATTTTGGTGGCAATTTTTATTATTGAAATATTCTAGAATATTATCATGAAGTATAATTTAATATTCGAGTGTAGGAACCTGAATTATTATTTAATATTTCAAGATACTTGAAAACTCAAATAATAAAAATTACCACCAAAATTAGGTAGAGAAATCTAACCTGAAAATTACCCATTTATTTCGTACGAAATTTGACTGAATTTGTCAAATTATCGATTCAGACTTTGACGAACATGTATATTGTTCGAAAAATCGTGTAGTATTTAATGTCACATATTTGTAAAGTAAATTGTGACAAAAATGTAGTAAATTTTCAAATCGTAAAACCATGTACTTATTCATTTAATAGTATTAAAGATATCAGCAAAATAAGATACACGGAATACTTTTCGTAGACAGCGTAGTAATGTCATCTTATACGGACGAAGAGAAGGTTAGTATTTTTTTTTATTTTATTAGTTTGCATTTTTTTGCCGATTGTAAATCAGAAGGTGCTGAAATAAATACCCCTTTTACACATTTTTGGCACCCCTGCCAATATGAACTTTGCTCGTAAACAAATATAAAGCAAATTTGTGAAAAGTTTACTGTCGTGCCCTACTTTCACGGAAGGGTAGAGGAAAATCTACAAGCGACACGGTTGCATAACACAGCCAAGAGTTCTTCGTAATTCAGTAGCTAAGAGCTTCTTGTGAAAGAATTCGTCCAGGGACGTGCTGCCACCTTTTTTGCCGCCAAGCAGTAATGTGAGCATTACTCCGTTTTGGTTTTGAAGGGGTAAAATTACACGCTCATGGGACTTGTCAACATAATTATCTGAGCTGCACTGCAACTGTTCTGGACAGGCGTGTCGCTTACCACCGCGCGCATACGACTTGTTCGTCCTTCACTTGGTATCATAGAAAATGTTTAGCATTTCAAATTAAAAGTTTGAGAACAATATGAGGCTAAAAATCGAGAAAATAATTTACAAGACCTCTTCAACACTAATTCACTTAGCATCCAATACCACGCTCCGTCGAATGCACTCTGACGTTCGCCGCAAAGCGAGTGTAGGGCTTTAAAAATTGAGATGCAAATTCTAAGAAGTGCTAGGTGCTGGAGTGGAAACGAGTAGGCGAAAAGGAATTCAGCGCTTTGTGCTTCAAGATTGCGTAACAGGGGCTTTCGTGACGCTTCGTGTAGAAATGCATATAGAGTAAAAAGTGGAACGACTCACACTCACATTCCCTTAAACAGAAATATACGTTTGTAAAATACAATGACGAAAATCTTTGGACTTTAAACTGTTTTGTCGCTGAATGCATTGTCTAGTTTTATCAACAATTTTTCACCGTTTTAGCTAACGCTGCAAAAAACTCCAGCTGCTTTTTCACGTTCCAATTATAGCGATATCAACTTTCAGCGAAATTGTTTCACAACGTTATATAGCTTTCAGCTTTAATCAATGTAATCCGACATCTGTTTCGAATACGATAGGGTATGGGTATTTGTAAATAGGGGAATTAAAAAAGGGATTAACGTCTTTTTTTTTAATAACAAGTTACGGGGCCTGTCCATTACATTTGCAGTGCAGCTCAGAGCTTTAAATCGCAAATATCTAAAGAGCGCGCCCGATGCGCCTGTCCCTCTGAGGCATAAGTTGACAAACCCTAAGTGCATGTAATTTAACCAGCGCTCTTCAAAACCGGAATGCTGTAATACTCATATTACTTCTTGGTGGCAGAAACTGGTAAGGTGGCAAGTAGGTACTTCCAAACACGCATTCTTTCACAAGGAGCTCTAGTTTTGCTTTATAATTTTATATTTGGCAGCGTACATGTTAAAATTAAACCATTTATGTCCTAATTTCTATGTGTCATTGGTGGGTATGGAACTTTCTCAAGGAGAGGATCTAGATCAGATTTCGTCACGCTTGTCCTGGGAAGTACTGCCACTTTATCTATTTCTGTCGCCGAGCAGTAATGTCAGAATTACTTCGTTCCGGTTTTAAAGAATAAGGGTGCTGGTGAACACAAAACTTGTCAACTCATGTCTCTGGGTGACGAGCGCAGTGGTAATGCCCCTTAGGTCTTTGTGATTTAAAGCACTAAGTGGCTCTGCAACTATTATGGACATCCGGTCCCGTCAACCACTCAGTTGAGAAACATCATAATCCCACTGGGCTACCACCGCTCAAATTCCTTCTACAATTAACATTGCAAGAAATAGTTTAAATAACATCTTCATATTTTACACAAGCGCGTAATTAAAATGGAACTTTTGTACAGGAAATCTTAAAGCTGTAACTCAAACAAGAAGTTTTAATTTAACACAGAAAACACGACCGAATCGGGTAGTTTATTTTCATATTGCTTGCTTCGCCGCTCGAGGACACTCGGAACTCTTTGTTCCGGCAAATAGAATAACAAATATAGCGAGTGCTGCTCTTTTATTCCGAGATGTTCAAGATGTTTCGCCGCTGCAAAATGGGCACGACCCGCCAGTTGCTACACCGCTGACTTTACAGAGAGTACTGTTGTGTTTCGTAATAAAATGCAAATTTTAAACAAACCTTGAAAATTTTGACTGCAGCTTTAATAGACCATTAGTAAAGAATATTAGAAGTTTTTTTAACCGACTTCAAAAAAGGAGGAGGTTCTCAATTCGACTGTTTTTTTTGTATGTATGTTACGCGATAACTCCGGTATTTGTGAACCGATTATCATGATTCTTTTTTTGTTGGAAAGAGGGTACCCCATTTCATTTTGAAGAAAATCATACACCTCTCTCTGAGTGTGGCTTCACGCATGAAATTTCATTTCTATAAATAGCGCCTAGATTTTATTATAAGGAGCAATTATTTTAATGGTTGATTTTGCTATTCTCTAATTCAAGGCGTTTTTCTCTCTCAATATACTTTGAGTAGTGAGAACCGATTTTTACTATCTCCTGTGTCAAGTCCTGTGTAGTGGTGAACTAGGGGACATTTCAATAAAACTTGGCAAATAGACGTAATTCCACGTACTTCTGAGGTAGGTTTTTTATTACTCTGTACTGAGACTATTATAAATTCTTATTTATGATACTAAGTGGCGGGTCAAGTAAGTCGTGAGCCTGACGATAATCTTGGGGCCGCACTTGCGACTATAGTCACGAAACAATTCGTGCCGAAGCTTCGTATGTTATGCTCGCAAAAAATTTATCGCAACAATGCCGTGGTCACATTAGCGGCTTCGTAATTTTAAGCGAATTATCGTGTAATAATCCAAGATGGCCGCAATACAATGTCCAGACATATTGCCTAGGTTTTTGTGGCGAACATTCTTTGAAAACCATACATAATTAGCTCAGCTTCAAAGTTGTTTAATAACTCTAAAGCCAATTCGTCGCTCCTCTCTATTATTTAGACAGAGCGTCTTATCAGACCGAGAACAACAGTCGAAATCCGACCACGTAGTACGATGTAACCCTTTGATGTACCGCAACCCAAATGACAACTTCTACCCGCCGCAGCCCGAATATCCGCGAAGATGGCCGATAATGGCTAGTTACACCTGCGTGTATTGTAACATTGTACGACGCTTCGTGACGATAGACAGCTGCAGCTCCAGCATAATCGACACGTCTACCCGTAACTAACCACTATCACGGAGAGTGTGCGATGGAATTGCATGATTTAATTCGGCCTTCCCCTATCCATCATCGGGGGACTAGACGTAGGCTGGGGTTCCACCACTATGTTGTGGATTTTTTTTTATATTATGAAGTGACGGGACGAACAAGTCGTGCGTCTGATGGTAAGCTACGCTCCTGTCCATAACAGTTACAGTGACACTTAGAGCTTTAAATCGTAAAGATATGACGGGCACTGCCTCTGCTCCCGTCACATCATCATCATCATCAATATATAGAATATATATTATATATTTATATTAGAGAACCTGTCCGCCCCAACGGCCATTGGTTCTCCTAGCTATGTGCCCCGCCCACTGCCACTTCAGCTGAGCAATTCATCGAGCTATGTCGGTTACCTTAGTTCTCCTACAGATTTCCTCATTTCTGATTCTATCGCGTAGGGAAATACCGAGCATAGCTCTCACTCCATTGCCCGCTGAGTGACCTTGAGCCTTCTCATGACGTCCATAGTGAGGGACCACGTTTCGGATCCATACGTGATAACTGTCAACACACACTGGTCTAAGACTTTCGTCTTGAGACATTGAGGCAATTTGGACGCGAAGATTTTTTGTAGTTTCCCGAACGCTGCCCAACCTCGTTCACAGCTCGTTGCAGTTGGATAGGATTAGAGCTCTGATCCTGTAATCGGACTGATATAGTGGCGTTATTGTATAAGTACCTTAACACCTCGATATACTATAGAGTCTATTTGACACCTTTGGAGAGACTGCAGCAACCGCCCAGGTCTCGATCGAATCAAAGGCCTTCTCATAGCCCACAAATGCTAAGCAAAGTGGCCGGTTATACTCCTACGACGACGAAGATGACGACGACGACTGGCCTTGCAACCTACAACACGCGCACATTGAGGACTGACGCAAAGCTCACAGAATTGGAAGAAGCTATTAGTAAGCTACGCTGGGATATTATTGGGCTATCTGAAGTCCGAAGAGAAGGGGAGGACTCGATAATCCCTAACTCCGGCAACTTACTATACTACCGGGAGGGCGACACTACACGGTTGTTATGGGGGACTTCAATGCAAAGTTGGGA